AGAACTGAAAACACAAGACAGAATTTGTATTTGGTTTCTCTGTCTTTCACTAAAACCAACTTCCACCCTCTCTAGAGTTGCGTTCACTGTTTTTGTTAAAGATTTCCTGGATGTGTTGGGAAGACTTTCTGAATTGTCCTTTGCTCGAAATTCTCGAATGGCGAGAGCAGCCAAATTGTTCGCAAGTATAATATTGACAGGCGCAGGGAAATTTTCATAAGAATTCCCAAGCTCTGACTTAGAACTTGATTCGGGATTTATCTGCATCTAGGTGTTCGGTGACGAGCAGTCGATACGTAACAATAAACAGATGCGTGGGAATTTTGAACAAAGGACTCCCACAAGCATATTCCAGTCAAGTTTAATTTCTGAATGTAAAGTCATTTGCAACCGATCCTTGCTACGCCCTTGTATACATATTTAGAAATGTACACAGAACATAAATATCCGAAAACCCTTTCTATTATTTCATATTTTCAATACTTTTTATATTTTAATTCTTTATTCCTTCCACATTCCCACTAGGGAAAGTATCTATTCATTTATGAAAATTTGATTTAAATTTACAAATAATTAAGATATTTCAGGGCAAAATTTTACTCGCTTTTTCTACTGCAGTTATTAAGATCACACATCTTTTTTTTGGGTTTTAAGATGGCTAGTTAATTGATGGCCTTTTTCTTCTATTAACAGCCAGTCGTGGATACTCATAAATCCTCTATTTATTAGCACGAAAGGTGCTATTAGTATCGATTCTCACTTATTTGTCCGTATCACATTTTTGCCAACATAACTTTTCAAATAAATGTATTTTGCCACCCAATGATATCGCCATGTATTATTTTTAAAAAATAATATAGCGAATATTAAAACATGTTTGAAAACACTTAACATTGTATAACATTGTATCATGTATTTTAAACATATGCTGTTAAAATTTTGTAATTTTGCTGCTAAATTGTATGTGGCATAAGTGGGAAGAAAGTGATGTTTAAAAAGAAAAAAAAAGTTGTTTATATTATCTTGATATGAAAACTGAACATGTGTATGATAAACTGAGGAAAGTCTGACAAAAACAGAAAAAAGTATGGCAGCACTTAACATTATCTGGAATTCTAAAAATATGCTTTAAAAAATTTTGTGGTTTTGCTGTTGAATTTTACGTGGGAGTAAGCTCAAAGAAAGCAAAGTTTTAGAATAAAGTTAAAAAGAAAAAGAGTTTGTGTTAGCAGAAATGAATCCAAGAGCAGACTGGTAAACTGTGGGCTCAATGAGAGTATAATAAACTTTAACAAACCCTCTGGTGCAACGTTAAAATCTGAAACTTTAAGATTTTCTTTTATTACTTATTTATTTATTTTCTTTGCATAATTTGTTTAAAAGTGTGCAATAAAGCGATACACATACGCAGAGCTGCGTGCATTCGCTTTTCCACCAACCACAAGTTTTGCGTTTCACGTAAATATGGCTAGCTATAGGAAAAACAACAAGTTTCAAATAACTTTGTTATCAAGAGCTGTATTAAGAAAGGTGAAGATATGCAATTGACAACAGATTAGAATGTGTAGTTATAGTTAATTTCTCAATAAAGGGGCATACCATCAATTTATAGCTATGTATTTAGTTAAAGTTTATATTTAATTATAACTGGACGATGGATTTTACAATTTTAATCAAAAGACGGGTATTAATTTTGAAACGAAACAGGATGTAAAAATTTGTAATAAGCATGTTATAGTTTTAAGACAGTCAGCAGAAGTTAGGAAAGGGATAAGAGACTTAAGGAGCTGTTGTAAAGTATAGCTACAATTTAAGCTTAGATATTCCTGTCTTACATATATGATTTACTTTGCTTCCGTAATTATACTATAACTGTAGCATTTTCTACCTATATAATATAATAACTACTTTATTTACATACACATTTCAAAATGAAGCGTGAAAGACAGGTGTGACCAAGTAAATCACGGAATCATGTAAACCAAACCCAAACCAAATCATTTTTGTTCAAAAAGTTATCGATTATATGGTTATTACCTACCGAAATCACAAATCTCTTACTTGTTTTCAGCAGTGTATTAAGTGACAAGTATTACTATGTAGATTGTATAGATCAATATATATATGTGTGTGTGTGTGTGTGTACATATTCATAAAAGGGATCGTGTTCACAGAATTTTATGAAATTAGCATTCTAGAAAATACCGATAGGCTTCACTATTGCATCATACCCAACCTGTAACATCATTTACAAAAATTAATTTAGTTTAAGGACTTTTTAATATAATCATTAGATTATATTTCTAAAGTAATAAAACTTCTGAGTATAAACATATTTATAGCTTCACAAAACTTATAAATTACTTGTGCGAAGGTTCTAATAAATTATAAACTAAAGAATCTTATACGCTAGTAAATCGCAAAAGAATATTACTAAATGACATTTAAAGGGAGGAAATCAAATTTTAATTATTATAATTTATTTATTTAGCTGACCCCCTTCAGTAAGTTAGAAATGATGCGAAATATTACAGATTTTGAAATTAAATATCTGTTTCAACTTTTTATTTACTACTTTTCATAAGGAGTATTGAATATTCCTAATACAAGAACCGAGGGATAGGTATAAAAAAACTATTTCGTAATTTTTATTGAACTGCTTGTTTTAACTTTAAAACACCAAAATATGAATAACTGCGTAATTTAAAGCATTTTTGTAACTGGAAGTACATGTCTGCAACCAACGGTTGCGAAAATAAAGGCCAAGTAAGAACTCTGGTGGACAGCTTCACTAACGTCGATGCGCCAACATGAGAAAACAGCAAAACTTTTCGTCCATTACGTGAATGGTTACTTGAATATAGCAAAGCACAAAAGGACTATATGGTTAAGAGAATGGACTTTTCTAATGGAATCCGGCTCGCGTTCACGTTAGACGCGGGAAAACCAATTCGCCGAGATTCGGACCTGGGATGAAATACCAGTGTTCAGCGGGCTTTAAACGTTCGGCCACTGGTGGGACCTAATTATCGCTGGAATTAAATCTAGAAAAAAGCATAGATTGCGCAAATTTCATAGCGCATTAATAAAGTCATGGCATCAACGGTGTGTTAGTTTTATTATTTATGTCAAGTAGTTTTACAGGAAAGTCATTTAGCAATCAGTTTTGAATAACAGCTCTATTAAAGGTACAAGAGGCTACTCGCCGTAATATATCTCAAAATCTGAAGCATAATGTTTGGTCCTAACGTTTCCAGAAAATGCGTCCATAAGAAAGAATTATCGCATGTTAGATCGAAAAGCCGTTCACCATAATATGATATTAATCTCTGCAGAAGTGTCTGTTTCAGAAAATTCCAAGCAAATTTTAAGGCCGTGCGTACGTTCTCTACATATATTGGAACCATAAATTGTTCATATTCACGTAAAACGGATGTCTCGAATGTGCGAAGAAAGAAGGCTCGTAACATGATTAGATGTCCTTCAGTGATTAAGGGCCTATCACCAGTGGCCGACTGTTTAAAACCGCTGAATGCTGTTACTTCAGTCTAGCTTGGGTTCAAATCCAGACGAACGGGCTGGTTTCGGGGTTTTCTCCATATCCAATGAGAATACGAGCCAATTTCCTTCAAAATCCTCTACAAAGGCATCCCTCCTTTTTGGCAGATAGTCCTCGTGGCTTTAATCATATTCAAATATCCTGACCTAACTTTTCAGTGACTACAGTTAAAGCCGCTTGGAATAGTAGGTGCGTAATTTGACAGTCGTATTCAAACACTGACTGATAAGTGGTATTCCTGCACGTATTGTTTGGCATAAAGGGAAATATTAAATTAAAAGCACTTTTTTTGCTTATTATATGCTTATATTAATGAGCTGTGAACTCTGCCATGTCCTGTGCTTGTGTACAGTGATTCATTCCTCGTGACTACTAATCAGCCCCAATGATGAATTACAGAAAATGAATCTGCGAAAAGAGGCAAAGGTTTTTAGCTTTACGGGAGGACTAAAAATAAACTGACTGCTTTAAAGCAGTTTTTATTCTTTTCCCTCAATTTCCTACATTCCTTGTGTTTCGATATTTGTTGTTATCAGCAATATCAGATGGTCAGTTACCATTTCTCAAAGTATAACAACAAGTTTGAAAAACTTCAGCCTGTAACCTGGAGCTGTATGGCACATATGAGTGCAACTGACTATAAGTGGGTTGAATACCTAGTATTGAATAACTGGAAGCACTTCTGCTGAAATAAAATCTAAATTGCTTTTCCTACATTCAGTTTTATCTCCTTCTTCATTCAGTTCCACTTACGAGTGAGCATCTTCAGCAAACTCTTCTTCCGAACAAGATTAGTAAAAAGAGATTATTCAGTAATTTTGATAAACAAACACTATTAACAACAAATAAATAGACATTATTAATTTTGATAATCAAATATTAATTTCAATTGCATTTAATAATTAAGTTTACATTGATTAAAGTAAATTAAATCTTAACACAATTAAATTATATTTTGCAATTAGATTTAATAAATAAACATTATTAATTTCAATTCTAATATTACAATTATTCCACTAATTACCAGGTTATTTGAATCAGAGGCATATAATTACAAGTATCGAAGGCTTATTACTAGTTAATAATGAGTTGTATTATATTAAGTTGCAATCCAAATGAAATAAATGTTACAATTATAATGTATTCATATATCCCATGTAAGTTTTAATTATATTCTGATATTATTTTTAATTTGCGAATTTCAAAAATTGCTGTTTGGTGTCAGGAGCTCTATTTTCGTTACACAACTATCTCATTACATTTTTTTGCAATTATTATTATAATTATTTTAGTGTAACTTTCGTAAAAAGTCTGCAGATTGCAATTGCTGCTGAAGAATGCGACTTTTTAAGTCAGTAGTTTCATATTAAATTTGTTACGTTTATACATGATACTGCATAATATAATATACACATCTGGTATTAAGTAGAATGTTACTTACCTTTGTATCATTTGCTTCTGACATATGCTTATAAAGAGTACAAAATGACTTCTGAAGGCTCAAATGTTCTTTGTACAGCTGCTGGTGCATCTTGAGTGTTACCTAAAGCAGGATTACAACATTTCATGTAGTCAGGAAATTATAATTTAGTAAATTCTCAAGAAAGCCTTAAAGTTGAAAAGAAAGTAAGAAAGAGGAAGGTAGTAATACATAATTTAAATAATCATAAGCCTTTCTATGATGTTTACCAAGAAAACTGTCGAATGAAATTTTTTTCATGATGAAAAATACTTTATTTCATTTCCTTAAAATGTTGTAAATTTATCGTGAATGAAGCACCATCGAAATTTTAATTGCCTTAAACTGCTCGGTGGACTATACTATTAAGGTATAAATTACTTAATTTTATATATTTTAAAATCGCGCGGAAAATCTTGAGTTTTTTAAAAGGTAACAATTTTTGGTTGACTAATAAGGTGTTAATGACGTTAGCAAAAATTATATCATTAGTTATGGGTGTTTTATACGAAGCAAAAATTTTATCATAACTATATCAGAAGAATAAGTTGCTACAGTTTATCTCGTTTCCACAACCAGTTTTGAGAAATAAAAAATATTTCTTATCCTTAACAAAAATCAAATTTATAAATGTTGTTTCATTCTAAGCAAGTAAAATTCCATCCGGGTTAATTTCATAAGATAAATTTTAGTTAATTTCGATCAACAGTGCCAACAGGCAATAACTGAAATCCTTCTTATCTTCTCTTACATCTTATTGTTAGCTAATTCAATTATATTAACCAGTTTGATATAAATATCTGGAGAACACTTAACTGCAATATACAAATGCATGAAACATTAGTCGCATTCTAGACCTTTTAGTCGCGTTTGAACTCAACATTTCAACATATTTCTGAAACAATTGTGACTCAGTTACAAAGAAAATTTAGTTGAGTATTTCTTATTGGAGAGTTTCGCAATCAAGGAAAAAGATTTTCTAAGCTGAAAAAAGACTAGAGAATTACTTTTATTTTTAGAATATTTCGAACCAGTATGAATATTTCAAAGTTCTTGAAGACATTTTTATGCTATTTTTTATTCCAAATATCTTAGTAGACAGTACATATTTCGATTTGAAAAAAAACTACTTTAATCTCAAATTATATTCACTTATTGTTTATTATTAATCAATAAAATTATTAATAATAGTTTTAAATTCCCATCGTAAGGATTTTTATATTCCTGAACCATAGAAAATATAAATAAGTCTATCTTCATTCCTACTGTCCTAAAATCAAAATATAAAATACCAGTCAAGTACTACAGAGCTTCAGAAAATGTTTCCTTCTCATATAAAACCTAACTATTTAAAAGAAAGTAGCATAGAAATATTAACAGATACCACAAGAAAATAAAATATTTCTAAAATAGTGCGATCATTTACAAATTTGTAGTGAACTATTAATATATTATAAATGTAAGAAATGTACTTTTTTTTTAATTCGGAAAAACAAAAATTAAATAAAACTTACGAAGCACTTTTGCCCCATCATCTCATATGTGTAAGACTGCTTCATTTATCCTAAATCTGTTAACATTTTTCAAAAATATAACAGCATCGCAGTGTTTCAGCCTAAGCCATATGGGGCAACATCAATACATGCACCTCTCTTTCGTGTCGGCTTCAAAGCCATGAAGATTAGATTGCTTCTGCAGGACCTGTTCAAAGTAAATAAAACATTAATTTTTCAAACCCTATAAAAAGCATTCTATTAATTCGTGTTTTATTCGTGGTGCAAAGAAAAGAATGGACCTAGATCACATACACACAGATCTTCATTAAGCAATGCGAACGCTACGTCAGTCTCAGTCGTAATTTCAAGGCTATCGCCTCTACCATCAGCCCCAACTCTTATGTTTATAACAAAGAAAATATGCGTTCCCATCGCCTGAATAATGTATTTTAAAAGAAATCGTCATTACCAAGGCCTATTTTCGAACATACGCAACCCAACTCTTACAACAAAAGTTATCTCACACTATTAATACAGTTGTTAAAAAAAAAAAAAAGTGCCATTTCTTGTAAGGTTCGGGTCAAGTCAGTCCTTAGGTGAAAGAACTCGGCGGAGCGAAAACATGCCTTTTGTTACCACTTCTCGAGAAACTCGCTTCGGAGAGATCTTTAAATGGGAATCTTCTTTAAAAACAAAAGAAACCTATTGAAGTTATTATCTAACCTGCTACAGAAAACAAATCGCGTTTTGTTGCGGCGTTTTCGTTATCTACATTGGTTTCTTTATTCTAGGTTCAGAGATTTAGAAGATGTCTTCAGAATATAACGCGAGAAATGCTTATGTACCTTACTTCCCTATATACATTTCATGTGAAAAATATGAACGGCAAAATGGTGTAGTTATTATAGCTGTAGCGAATTGCTTCTGTAGGCTGACGACATCTGAGGTATGAGAAAGCGATAATACTAAAATTTTTGAAGTGATGCAAGAAATAAATGAAAACGATAACCTAATTAAAAATTATATATAAGCTAATTAAAATACAATAAATAAAAATGCTAATCAGGTAATAATTAATGACCTTTTTGCTGTAATCACAATAAAATGTTTTAATGTTATACATTTTTTCAAGAATTTAAATTTTTATGTCATTTATTAAATTTCTCCCTCATCTCCTGATTTTGCATCATTTTGGATAGAGGTTCCATGCCCTCTAAGAGTAATTACGATGGCTGATGATAACCTGTGATTGTCTAACTAAGGATTAAAAAATTAGAGACTACGATTTCCTGGAAAACAATGTTAACGATGTTGGACTCCCAGAAAAATTTTTAAATTAATTTTGATCAATAACTAGCTAACTAGAATTTTTATAGATTCAAATCTTGTTATATACTGCTTAAAGATATTTATATTTCTAGACTATTCAGTGATATATATATATACATATTCTTTTGTTACGTACATGTAATTTATTTTTTAAAGAGTTCAAATTTTTCAATAAATTCTGTATAACCTCTAGCAAATATTTTACAAGTTTTGACAAATTATGTCTATATTCAAAGAATGGGGCCTCAAAACCAGATGAAAGTGTCGGGTGATCTTTCGACTGATCAAAAAGGATCTCCAATGGAAAAAAATACTGTGAGAAATCACTCATAATTAAAACTTAAGCACAAAATTATACTAATTGTTAGCAAAATAAATTCTGTGCAATGACCAATTGAATGAGACAACTGAATCCTGGTGGTTTCAAATCCCGGTGAAGGGATGGATGTTCTCGGGATTCTCAACATGTGTAATAAGAGCCAGTTCCCCTTAGAGAGTACTCCACGATCACATCCTTCGTCTTACACAGGTATCCCTGGTACGCTTTGCTGTAAGAAAATAATCCAATCTGTCTATACAGTGAACATTGGTCTGATGCCTTTTCAGAGTTCTACATCTAGTATAACATCGAAATAATGAAAGCGAGCTCATTTTCGAATTCAACGGATCTAAAACTATATCTTAAAGAGAAAATTCCAAGCCACGTTCACAAACAGATATACTACCGATGCACAATATAATAACTGAAACAATTTTTTTTTCTAATTTTCAATGGCAGGTTCACAAGACAACAGGTATATTTCAAAAAAAAAAAAAAATTAACATAGAAAAAAATTAACATAAAGATGAAAAGACATCGGTTAATCCGTCAACTTATGTCTGGCAATCCAATATCGCTTCCATGAGGATGCAGGAGGTAGAGCAGGACGGGAGGCAAAGTAAGAAGTGTCAAAACAAGGCATAATTGGAATCATAAAGTGACAGAAAAAGGATTTACTATAATTTAAATTCCAATATTTTGTATAGCGAAACATAAAAATTCTGGATTGTTAATGTGTAATGCATAACAAAATCAAAGGAAAAAAGATAGGCCTGTGTTATCAATTTTTCTCAAAGATAATGTAGCCTTAACAATTTCACCGACACTAAAACTGAAATCGTTTCTTAAATATATTAAAATAAATAGAAGGAAAGATATTTCGAAAATATTTTCTACTAAAATTGCAGCTTTGAAAGTCGTGTTGGTTGTTTAGTTAATTGATTAAAGCAGAGTACTCCAGAACTATTTACGTAGAGAGGATGGCTTCGTAAATGCCCTTATAAGCTAAATTGGCTTGTATTTATTTCATATATGAAGAACCATCATGAACCCTCATGCAACCATTTCTCCTGGAACTGAACCTGGCCACAAAATGTACCTGTATGCAAGTTTATTTGATTACTACTTATTCTGTCAATAGTTGGATCATATTTTATTTTCTTAAGAGTTAACATTTTATAGTAACAGTTTAGCCACTTGTTGCTACAAGGTTTAACACGACGAAATCTATAGTGCACATCCATAAAAACTCACTCTGTAGCCGTATCATTAGTAACTACTGGAACTTGGGGACCTGAATTTCTTAATTTCTGGTGAGGTTAAGTTGTCTGTTTTGGCAAGGCATTCGAAAACTTTGGAGAAATGCATTCGCAGAGGATATTCTAGGAAAAGTTGGCTTTGCATATATAAATGGGAAACCCACAAATTTGGCTTATTCAACCAGAACGTTTTGTCACTGATGAGCTATCAGAACTCTAGCACCACCATCCGTGATATATCACCAGCATCGGGTACATTAATTTCGATGTTGGTGCCAATGATAGATTCTCCTGGATACTATTTTTGCAGTAGGTTATGTTAAAGTTTTGCTCTTAATCAATATGCAGATGTCTTTATCTACCCTTGGATCATGTTCAATAAGCGGAGTCGCAAAATAATAGATGAGGAATTCTATAATTTTTTACATTTTGGGTAAAGTGAATATGAATTTACGGAATGAAGTGTACAGATGTTTTCTACGAATCATTAAGTACTTGATCAAAGAGGATTTCCTCAAGTTAGGTATGCAATACTGATAAAACTTCAAGTATTTAAATGAATCCTCCGCTTTTTTTTTTTTTTTTTTTTTTTTTTTTTTTTTTTTTTTTTTGGTACAATAACTGCATAATTCTCCTTTTGAGTGAATAATTTCATTTATTTTTTTAATGAAATTCTAGTTGTATACGGAAATCCTTATTAGATATGGTAAATGTAAGTCTTATCTTTTTATAATTTGACTAATTTAGAATCACTTACAGAAAAATTATTTGCAATAATATCTCAAGAAAAGAGATTAGTTTACGTAATTTCTGCTTTGAAAGATTAACCACAATAAGCATTGGAATTACTAACGACGGAAATCAGACAAAAGGTATTGCCTGTACACTTTACATTAGCATAATACAAATCTGAAATGCAAGAGTTCTAAATAAAAACTTAATTTTTACGCATCTTCTGAATGAATGCAACATTGCGATCTTTATTTCCAGGGAAACATTGTAATTGCAACAAAATAAACTACATAAAAGATAAATAAAAAATTTAAAACAGTCACAAAATGTTTTGGTCTTCACACTAGCTTGATTCAGTTGAATGAAATGAAAAATAGCCAACAAACATGCTCTTCTTCACAATTTCTTGACAGTATTTAAAAGGAAGAAGAGGAAAAAAATACAAAAAAGGTCTGAAAATCTTTATAAAGAAGGTGCTTGAACCTTTTAAATAGACACAGTGAGAAAAGACCGGTTTCTACTGTGAACTAAATGTGGTCTTGTCTGGCCCGAAAATGAGTCACTCAAAACTTCCAGCCTAGTTTAGAAACTCAAGGTTATGAGAACCGTTTGGACTTCGTAAATAACCATTAAGCCTATATAAAACTTAGACTGGTATTTGAAACTCCCTCCCAATGTAATAACAACAGTGTCTTTAAGAATAGTGGTTGGACTGAGTATAATTTCCGAAGAGATTTCACAATACGTATTATCCAGTCGTATATTTTAGAGAACCACAATACCGATACATTAAATATTTTGGCTAGTTATGAATTTAAACGAAAAATAAATGCGAGTAATATTAGTAGACACTTTGCTACATTCAAAATATCACTTTTAGAAGGTTCAAAAGGCTTATGATTCCGTGCTTTGTCGTGTAACTCTATTAGTCATCATATATACAGTTAGTCACAAAAGTCTGCGTACAGACTAAATTTTAAATTAAAAAAACACTTAAAGCATAGAAAAATGTATTTTAATCATTGCATTTTTTTCCTTCTATTAGCTAAAATTGTAAGCTTAAATAAAAAGTAAATAATATCATCAGTGTGATACTTTTTACATTTTTTTCAAAAATATATTTTGTCAAAAAAACTCAGAAATTCCCTCCAATAAGTCTGCGTATACTTTCAAAAAAAAGCAAAATATAAGCTTTTACATTACTTCAATAATTTGTAGGATATCCTTTATTCTTCAAAACAGCTTGCAGACGTCTGAGCATTGACTGAACTAGTTTTTCAGTGTCATCCGACGTAAATTTCGCCCATTCTTCCTGCAATTTACTAATTAGCTTATTTCGCGACGTAATATTGTGTTTTCGAATTCATTTCTCCAATTTTGCCCACAAATATTCGATTGAATTGAGGTCTGGTGACTGTGGAGGAGTACGCAACTGTCTTGGAGTGTGATAGAGGAGATATTCCTTCACAATTTTAGCTGTATGTTTCGGGTCGTTGTCTTGTTGGAAAATAAAGGTATTAGAAAGGTTTAAATTTCGGGCACTGTCTCGTAGATTTTTTCTTCAGA